CCCCATATGACTTTTTAAACGTAACAGCAAACTGAAATAAGTATATACAGAATTCAGTAAATAAAGCTGAAACCGGTAAATAAATAACAATTAATATACTATAGCCAAAAGAGATTCTGGTCTGATTAATACCACGATTAGCCCCTCCCTTTAGGAGGGGCCAGCGACGAGCGCCGTGGCCCGGGGGGGGCTACCAGTGGTAAAATCTTTATCCTTTTTGTTAATGTCCTTTACTTATAAAGAAGATGAAAAACTTAAAATATAACGCAAGGGGACTGCCATCCATCCTTCGCATTAGTAGAGAACAGCCATCTAACCATAAGAAGTTAAATATTTATCCTTTTTGTTAATTGCCTATACCTATATTGAAAAATTGGGTGCGGCCCCGGGGGGACAAGGGGCGGGTATACGACCCTTCCCGCCATTGCTCCCCCCACCTCTCCTGGGTAAGCTTACCCAGGAGCCGAGGGGAGAGCAATCCCCGGGTAAGTGTAATCTGTATGGAGGGGGTGAAGGCCGGTAGCAACGATTTAGCAACTCAACCCGATCTAGAGACGCCGCGGGGACCCCTTTACAAGTCGGCAACAATCCGCAAGAGAAAAACTATCGGTACAAAACAATAGCCCAGTACTCGCCCACGTCCCATCTCCCATCACCCAGTGCGCAATACCTTCAGCATTAAGATATGTAAATAAATGAATATCCGCAGGAACGACTTTCTTCCCTAGAACATAAAACATATTATAGAACACCGTTAGACACAAGAGGGCGCGAGTATAGAACGCTACTGTTTTAATTACTCCATCAACAATCTTACTTGCGTCAGGGAGAGAATTACAAAAAGGGCTAAAAATGAAAAACACAAACCAGAAATATGGGGCATGCTCTGGAATAGATTGTACAAAGGTGAATCTCACTAAATTGGTTCCCTTTTGTAGATACCCGTCAGACAGCATAATTCCAAAAAGGATGCACGCCTCCCGGGCCGGCGGACTTGGTCGCCCCCGGCCCGGGAGGACCATATTAAATGGTAGTTGAAACATATGTGCTAGGTATTTAGGCATTTGATTAGCGAATAGCCCAATAGAAGTGCGATCCCATGGTTAAAGAACCCCAAACAACTAATGCTGTACATGTTGTTGGAGGAAATAATAGAGCCACTTTTTTCATAATTCTCTTTGTATCTTTATGGGTATAACTTACCGGTAGTAAGGTTGCCCAGCATAAAAAGGGGTCGTCTAAAAAAATGAGTGAAGATGAGAAAAATATTACAGGTCAATAATGCCACACAATAACGTTAGAAAGAATGAAATTAAAAACATACATAGCAAAAGCCTGTACTTCGTTGAAAATACTACCCGTGGGGCCCACGGGTGGGACGGCGCTAGACGCTTGCCCCCCGTGGGTTTGTACAAAATTGTAATTCGTTGAAGATACTACTTAATACTAGCTGTCCTTTACCAGTCACTAAATGATCAACTCATTGCGGAAGAAAACTCTCCCATAGATCGTGAAAGGCAGTTACTGGGAATAAACCGACAGCACCCCCTACACCCGAACCTACTAATAAGACTAAAATCCTTACTAGTACCCCAGTGTAGAGTAAGTTACGATCGGCAATCCACTTAAAATAAATAGCGGTAATCCGAAGGGATGGTAAGGTGATCACTAAAATCATAATTCAAATTAAAATTCAAACCATTACAACTTAACAACAATAACAAGAAAATCTAAAATCCTGTTTCTTATATGTTCTGCCAGATTCTAAAGTTAGCCAGACCTAACCGTAAGGGTGTGATTAGCCCCCGCCCTATACTAGAGAAGATCGATATCTAAATAATGGGGGGGGGGGGTGGGGCTAAGAGCCCCATAAATAAATAGAAACGTATAAAAATAGCCAGACAACATCTACAAAATGTCAGTAAAGAATCGCCGTTTCAAAGCCAACTGGATGATGATTTGTTAAATGATATGATAAAAGTCTGAAAAGGCATACAATTAAGAATGCCGAACCAATAATAACGTGTAGTCCGTGGAAACCTGTTGACATATAAAAAGTACAACCGTAAACTCCATCTGCCAATAGTTAATGGAGCATTGTAATACTCGAAAACTTGTAAACCAGTAAAAATGGCAGCTGCGCCCGCGGGGCGCTGCAGTAAAACTATGTTTAACAGCTAAGATAATAGTAAATAGTAAACCATAAAAAGAACCATTTCTAGAGCCAGCGATCAAGCTGTGGTGAGAGTATGTTAAAGTCGCTTTTTTTGGTTTTTGCTGGAGGCAAACTACGTCTGCCAGCAAAAACCAAAAAAACGGAGCTCAATAAAATAACTGTGTTCAATAAAGGGATCTCAAAAGGATTCATAGTCTCAATACCTGCTGGAGGCCAAATAGAACCTAATTCAACTGTAGGAGCTAACGCGGAATGGAAAAATGCCCAAAAAATACTAAGGAAAAAGAAAACTTCCGAGATAACGAATAAAATAAACCCTAAAGTTAAGCCAGACCTAACCGCAAGGGTGTGGTGACGACCCGCCTTACACTAGAGAAGATCGAAAGATCCATAAAGATTTACTAACCTTCCCCGTATCGATCATACGGTAAACAGACGTTGCAGAGATATTACAGAATTTTGCAGCGGCTGTGATTGTAGGAAAAGTACCAACATATTCATTGTTGTGCGTATACACATAGACTGCTTTACTTAGATGATGATAACTCCCTGACATTTTTGCTAGCGTCTCTGGGGAATGTTTGAACCCTAAGCTCGATTCTGCCATAGAAAGAATGTTATAATAAGGGTGGAAAGTATCTAACGCTAGTTGTTCAAGAGTTAATAGTTGTTCCCGAGAACAAAAGCAAAGAATTGAGAACGTAAAAGCGGATAGCGAATACTTCAAGAGAGCGTTCTGTAAAAGAATATTCGAACTACCACCGTACAAATGTTGATGCCGGCGAAAGCTTCGACATAGTCGAAGCTTTCACCGAATCTTCTCGCCAAATCAACAGAGCTACCAATATACTGGTGCTCATTCAGCTGATTAGTAAAAGCGTAGATCCCTGTTTGGCCTCTCAGCTCCGCCTTAATAGCCGAATAGTTTTCGAGAATATCCGAATATACAGTAGGGTTTGAAAAAGGATCATTAAGAGGGGTTCCTTCACACATTACATTATTAAAGAAAAAATCCATGATTGTTTGAACATCGATATCCAAAAATAATGAGGGGGAGGCGGGAGAACCCCACCAATAAATAGTAATGAATAAAAATAGCCAGACAACATCTACAAAATGTCAGTAAAGAATCGCCATTTCAAACCCTTCATGATGATGGTTTGTTAAATGATATGATAAAATTCTGAAAAGGCATACAATTAAGAATGCCGTACCAATAATGACGTGAATTCCATGAAGCCCGGTTGTCATATAAAAAGTAGAGCCATATACTCCATCTGAAATAGTAAATGATGCATTATAGTACTCATAGGCTTGTAGAGCTGTAAAAATCGCAGCCAAGAAAATAGTAATAAATAAACCAAAAATAGTACCTTTTCTAGTCCCAGCGATCAGACAATGATGTGAATAAGTTAAGGTGGCTCCTGAGCTTAATAATAATACGGTGTTTAATAAAGGGACTTCAAATGGATTTAACGATTCGATACCTGCGGGTGGTCACATGCACCCTAACTCTACAGTTGGGGCTAAAGATGAATGGAAGAAAGCCCAAAAAAAACTAATGAAAAAGAATACCTCTGATACAATGAAAAGTAAAAAGCCTAATTGTAGACCACGTCTAACCTGCAGTGTATGGTGCCCTTGGAAAGTTCCTTCTCTACTAACGTCCTTTAGCCACAAAGCCATTGAACTAACTGTAGCAATAATCCCTAAAGCCAATAACAAAGGCCCGTTAGAGTAACCATGAAAACACATAACTCCAGATAAAGTAGTAGTTAATAAAGCGAACGCAACCGATAAAGGCCATGGAGATGGCTCAACTAAATGATACGGATGAGCTTGAATTGATCTAAGCATAATATAAACTATATAACCCATCATTTACCCAGCTGCCCCAAGAGTCTTAATAAACCCTTACCCAATCCCATATACTTGATATTAGGAGGCAGTAAGATACTACTAATTATGGGGGATCAGTAGAATGGTGATGTATCTCTTCTTAATACCCTCCGATCAACCGAAGGTTGATGGGGGAGAGGAACTAGAATTAAAGGAATCTTAAGATAAACTATAAGAATCGCTTACTCACTTGAGGAGTGTTCTAGTACTTCCTTTTATTAATTTACAAGAATCGGTAATGCTGGCCAGCCTAGGGAAATGAAGTACTAGCTCCTCGTAAGAGGGGCGTTGGGGTTCTTTTCTTGGTCAACTTTAATAATGGAGGGTTCCTACGGACTAAAGGAAGAAAGGAGAACCACGTTCTCGCTTCGCCCCTGGAATCAGGGACAAGTGCCGATTCAGCGTGTCCAATCGGAATAGAGCTACCCTCACACAATCTAAGGTTCATGGAACTCAAGAGAATGGGAGGGTATGGAGAGTTGGGTTGTCCTTCTGTCTTTGTGTATGTGTGTTGTATGTGTGTTTAGATTTGGTTATTATTGTATATTCTGTGAGGTATCAGTCCCCCATATTAACGGCCGGCCGGCCGGCCGGTTGATCATTCGATCTACCTTAACGATGGGAGGGTTAGTGGAGTAGGGTATGCTTCAGAGGGAGTCGTCGTTTGCTCCATTTCTGGGGCTCGTCGTGCCGCGTGATCGATCATGTTGACCATGGAAGCCTCCTCAATGAGAAAACAGGTCGTGTGAACATCGAACGAACTGGGGAAGCGAGCAATAGGAGGATATACATAGGGGTACGACGTGGTCGAGCTTTATTCTGTGAATGCTCCGGATGACATGGGAGTCTGTTGTCCCGTTGGGGTTGGTTGGTAGGATGGGGAGAGGTTTGTTAGTTGTGAATGAAAGAAAAGGGATTTTGTGTATAGGTGAGGTAAGGAGTCGAACCTTAATAATCAGATTATAACAATCGGATGCTTTGCCTGTTAAGCTACCCACCTAGAGGGTAACCCCCTTACCCTCGACCACAATGTCCTTATTTTTGCCTATTTTCTTACCCAAAGTAGGCCGGCCCGGGGGTGAGTGGGGTGAAACCCTACTACTTTTAAGCACCTTCGCCAAAACGGCTTCAGTTTCTCGTGTATAATCCTTGTGTTTAAGGTTTTGCCTACAGCGCTTTGGTATAGCCATACCCTACAGCACAAATACGACCTTCCTTACAACACCTTATTACTCCTCAAAGGCCTTAATAATACGGTTTCATTAAACTCAGGGTTATGAAAGGTGCTGTTACCATGCCCCTGGGTTTATCGTCTTATTTTAGTAAGAACGGGTCGACTTCTCAAGAAGGGGTCAAAGTCTCACTTTGAAGCCGGTTTCGGAGAGGGAGATTGAGCCCCCAGATAGGGCTCAACTCGCCCGGGAGTGGAGCGACCTCCCACAAGCCTCAGCTTACTACAATCGGATAGAGCTTCGGGAGTTCTGCGACCACAATGTTCTGTCCTGTCTACTTTGTAGACGCAGAGGGGTCTGGGGATTCTTCCCCAGGTCCTTTGGGTATCACCCGGTTTAAGACCCTAAGATTAAAGATGGCTGGGCCTAAGCCCGATTAACGGTCTTGGAGCGAACCAGGCGTTGTGGGGTATACAGAGGCGGCCATTTTGCTTGATTGTTAGTACATTTGAGATACAGTCTGATTTAAGCCACGTTTTAAGTGCTATATACATAGGTCACATTCGTCCATCACCTCAAGGTTACGGGACATTTTCTTACGTAAGCAAAACACTATCGGGACTTTATCGAGTTCGAAAAATATATATTTATATATATTTTTTAATTTTTATATTATATATAAAAATCGATTTCAACCCCCCCCCCGTAGGGGGGCGGGCCAGCCGTGGCGCCTCTAACCAGGGTACAACAATCTTTGTGAACCAGATTCGGCACGGTCGCATGGTTGGTTTGTGGCCCCCGGAGGACTCCCCTCGGAGTGTTCCGAGGGGGCCCCCCTGGGGTTTAAAACAAACCAGCCTAGCGCCGTGTCTGCCTATAAATATGCTGCACGGTCGCATGGTTGGTTTGTGGCCCCCGGGAGGACTCCCCTCGGAGTGTTCCGAGGGGGTTGCCCCCCCCCTAAAGGGGGGGGGCTAGTTAAACAAACCAGCCTAGCGCCTTCCGCCGGGGCCAGTAATTAAATTAACCAAAGTTGCCTCTGCCTGAGTACTTTCAACACCCCATTACTCAGTTTAACGTAATTCTCGCACGCTTGATCATTGTCTGCTTGTTGAGAATTTTCCTTTACTTATATATCTTATCTCTTATACATATATTACACACATTTACTTATATCTTATCTCTTACACATTATATTATAATGTCTTACTTCAACCTAGCTCTACCTTCGAGTCCCACGCTTCGAACCATGTCTGCTTGTGGATTCGATTCCTTCTCTTCTATGTTTTTATATGGCCGGAGTCATTGTTACCGGAGCTTAGAATATAGAGACCTTCAAAGGGCTAGAAGCCACGAGCTGAGGGCCGGGCCTAGAAAAAAAACTAGTTAATCTAACCCACGGGGGGCAAGCGTCTAGCGCCGTCCCTCCCGTGGGCCCCGCGGGAATATATATTTTATATATTTTCGATAGATATTATATATAATATCTATAGACGACCCCCTCCCCGTAGGGGGGGGGACCGGCGGACTTGGTCGCCCTCCGGTCGTTTTTCCCCCCTCCGCTCCTGGGTAAGCTTACCCAGGAGCCGATGGGGAGAAAAACCCCGGGGGGTAATCTGAATAATTAATTAGACTGTATATCTATATCTTAAGTCCTGTTGGCTTAAATTACAATATACTTAGAAATTGTATTCATCCAGCAATTGAAATTGTTTTATATGTACTATGTTTATGCGAATATTTACAGTATAAACAGATTTAATGAGTCGTGTCGACGAAGCGTTTCTCTCCTTATTCGCCCTAGGCCCCCAAGGGGCCTCGCCCCGTAGGGCCAAGCCCGACAGGGCTAGAAGGGATATAATTTAACACCATGCAAAACCATTACTCACAAACTCTTGCTACATTCACTCAATACGTGCTACCTAGATTATCTGGTGCATTGAGTAGGCAGCTACAGCTTTTATTGAAGCTGCTAATACCACTGTACTAACAATCTATCTTATAATCAGTATGCTAAGTTAACTGGTTATATTAATTCTTCCAATATTCATGCTGCGTATAGAGCAGCATTACTTGAATTATTATCGTTTGGTCTAAATCAAGTCTAATTATGCCAATGCAACTGAACGAACATCTACTTCTGGAGGTATTGTTTCCTCTCTTTTATCAGGTTTAACCACAATTGTATCAACCCCCTGGGGGCAAGCGTCTAGCCCCCGAGGGGCTTGTCCCGTCGGGGGTGAGTCGGCGAAAGCTTCGACTAAGTCGAAGCTTTCACCGCCCCCTTGGGACTAGCGTCTTGTATTTATACAAGATGCTGAACGCAATTATTGCTTAAGCAATAAAAGCGTCTAGCCCCGCAGAGCGGCGCTCGTCCCTGAGACCCTACGGGGAGGGGTGAGTCGGCGAAAGCTTCGACTAAGTCGAAGCTTTCACCGCCCCTTGGGACTAGCGCCTTGGTTTTCTAATTTTTTATTTATAAAAAATTGTAATAGCGCCGTCCCTCCAGGGGGGCGTATTTTACCTATTGCCCATGCTATTATTGAATCTAATTATGCTTTAGCTGAGTCTAATCTTGCTTTAGCTTCAGCTATTAATCTTAGAACTCAACTTGATTTGATGAATCTAACTGCACAGCCTGTAAAAACGGTTGTCGATAATTCATTAATTATTGAAAATAATGGAACCCATGACCCTTTCATTGAAGTATCACTGGATACGAATAACCCGTTTTCTAAGGATCTAGCTAATACAGATCCATTTAATTCTCCCTCTCCATTTTGGGTTACCCCCCTAGGTAGTAACCTGCCGGGTCTAGTTCTCCGGCAGCCCCTGAGGGTTGGAGCCCTCCTGATGACGGAATTTCTCTACTTTCACCAAACTTTTGGGATGACGGTTATTTTTGGGAATGGGATGAAGATGAAGGTGAACAATATTTTGATAGAGAAATGCCAATTCCATATGAAGGTGTTGAGTTACCAACTTTTAAGGTATTGTAATTAAAGAATCAATTCATACTAATGAATATATGTCTACGATAAAATAATATATATATTATTTTATTGAATTTATTAAAATAAAATTAGATTTCCCGGGGGTTTTTCTCCCCATCGGCTCCTGGGTAAGCTTACCCAGGAGCGGAGGGGGGAAAAACAGCCGGAGGGCGACCAAGTCCGCCGGCCACCCCGGGACCGAAACCACAGTATCGGTCGCTCCGATAAATATTATATAATAATATTTATTAAAAATATATAAAGATATTTTAGATGGGAGCTCTGGTTCTCTTGCAGAGCGGGAGTTAAGTGTTACTTTAGCTGAAACTATGAAAAACCCGGATGGGACAAATACATATCCAGTACCTCCGATGATACCGAGCGAACTGTAGAAATTACGCCAGATGAAGCAGGTTTTAATTCTAAGTTATGAGCAGATATTGATTCTAGACTCTGAATCCATGAACCAGCTACAGAAGGGTTTATTTTCCCATCATGGGATCCTGTGTCTGTTTCAACAATGCCAATCCCATATGATGGTGTTGAGTTCCCGCTACAAGGTTCTGCACATTTAAACCCTATTATGGTTTTAGATTCTCCATCATCTATGGATTATGATTTCCATGAAGAGTCACTTGATTCTGCACCTTTAAAACTTACTATGAATTTACAATCTCCCCCAGATGTGGATTATAGAGTTACTGAGGAACCACTTCTAGATCTTGATGTTCATGATGAGCTATATTTAGATCAACTGCTGCTTGCTCGGGATCCAGCTCTATGTGAACCTAATTATGATGCTCCAATTGGGAGTTCCCCCCTCGCAACGCGAGTAGTACCTGTAGAGCCTTTAATTGAGCCGTCCCGGAATATTCTGAGTTTTTAGATTTACCAGTCAATACACCTTCTTCGAGTGTACCGATCCCCGGGGGGACCGGCGGACTTGGTCGCCCTCCGGTCGTTTTTCCCCCCTCCGCTCCTGGGTAAGCTTACCCAGGAGCCGATGGGGAGACAAACCCCCGGGGACTTGATACAACTTCACCATTAGATCAAGTCAATACTGAACCCCACGCCCCCCGGGAGACAAGGGGACAACGGTCCCGCCTCCCGGGGTTTATAAACAAGTTTATGACCGTCTCTATACCTAAATATAGATGCTTTAATTACGCATAAAGATTTTCATCGTATGAAAATAAAAACATACTATTAACCCATTATACTGACATGCGTGTACAGTCGATTACAGCTTGATTCGGGGGTGCACGGGGACCCCCCGGCCATAGGTCACGGGGGGTCCCCAACATTTTTTGCGGCAAGCGACTAGCCCCCGAGGGGCTTGTCCCGTCGGGGGTTCGTCGGCGAAAGCTTCGACTAAGTCGAAGCTTGAACCGCCCCCCTTGGGACTAGCGCTGTGGCGCTACGCCTCTGGCGCAGCGACACGGGCGCATGGTTGTTTGTTTGTTTAAACAAACAACCTAGCCCCCGAGGGGCTTGTCCCGTCGGGGGTGAGTCGGCGAAATCTTCGACTAAGTCGAAGCTTTCACCGCCCCCTTGGGACTAGCGCCTATTGCAAAAAAAAAGCAAGTAGTAACCATTCTTCCTAGCCTAGTTGTGGAATACTAATAATTACCGCAGCAATTGCCGCCGCCGCCGCCGCAACTATTACGGCCTTTCAGAGAGACATAGCTTAAATGGAGAACTGACTTTTTTTTTTTTTGTTTTTGTTTTTAATCAGGCGACCCCCGGGCCACGGCGCTAGTCGCTGATTGTTCTTCCCCTCCGCTCCTGGGTAAGCTTACCCAGGAGCCGAGGGGGGAACAATCCCGGGGGTGATTATCACAAATGGAAATATTGTATACAATAACCTGATTCGATTCCAGTGAGTCTATAATATAAGTAAAGGAAGGCATGGGTAGGTATACCATGCTCCGCGCCCCTCCATTATTCGGGTTAAAAGGTTTGTTCCCAAATATACCTAAATAGCACACTATGCCCTATTCAATAACCCTATAGCTATATATTTAATCATGAATATTCATATGAGTCGCCATAACTCACTCAATCTACAATTTTTATTCTATAATTTTTTTGATTTTCATTCTATAGGTGGGTAGGTCCAAAACACACACATGTGTGTGTTTTTGATTTTTATATAAATATAAAAATAGATTCCCCTCTTAGCCGCAGATTTCCAGCCATTTTACCCGGCCGCACAAATCAAGGGGATGTTTACCACCCGTCTAAGCCGCATATTTTAACCCATTTTCCCCACTAGTCAAAATCAAGCCATTTTTGTTTGCTGAAGGTTTTTTAACGGGGGCACCTTCAAGGCACCCTTATTCGGTTAGCGCGCTAAAACTCACTTAACCCGGGCTTTGATGGCAGATTCCTCACTATCTCGAATTTGGCCTATAGAACCCGTGAATCCAACAAAGCCAGGATTTACGATATTCTACCCCCGGGGCTCCCGGCCGGAAGGCGCTAGGCTTGTTTGTTAAAACAAACGAACCATGCGCCCGTGCCGCTGCGCCAGAGGCGCAGCGTCACAGCGCTAGGCTTGTTTGTTAAAAACAAACCAACCATGCGCCCGTGCCGTTGTTAGTTATTAAACTAACCCGGGGATTGCTCTCCCCTCGGCTCCTGGGTAAGCTTACCCAGGAGAGGTGGGGGGAGCAATGGCGGGAAGGCTCGTATACCCGCCCCTTGTCCCCCCGGGGCCAACGTCACAGCGCTAGGCTTGTTTGTTAAAAACAAACCAACCATGCGCCCGTGCCGTTGTTAGTTATGAAACTAACAACGTCACAGCGCTAGGCTTGCCCGGCCGGAAGTTGGCCTAAATATTCGTATTTTAAATAACCACCCTTTTAACCAATAGGGCCCCCCCCAAAAGTGTAAATGAGATAGGATATTTTACACAAGGCGTTTGAGCGGGGAAGTGCCTGCTCCAACATTACCGGAGATTCGTGTCTATGCCGTTAAAAAGCGTTCTGGACTACCCGACTAAAGAGTATTCTAGCGAGGTAAAACTCTAAAAACAACGAGCTTTGAGACTTACACAACGCTAGCCCTGTCGGGCTTGGCCCTACCCCTTGGGGGCCTAGAAGAAACTTGCCCCCAAGCCAATTACCTATAAATAACGGGAAAAGTGGTCTCCTTACCATTTTAGATGGGTGGCTCCCGCCAACCTCCTCCGGAGGCCACAGAGTGTATTACAATGGTGTGGAGATTAACACTAACCATAAAATAAGTAAAAGTTTAAATGGTTCAATATAAGAGGAGAACTATCAGGATTTATTATGTAAGAGACGGGTTGAATTTAATAAAAGAAACAATAATCTTAGATTCTCTTGTTAATAAAAGTAATAAGAATTTAAGATTCTCTTGTTAATGGTTGTTAAGTAGTAATGGTTTTATTTTCTATTTTAATCCTGATTTTAGTGATCACCTTATCTTCCCTTCGGATTAACGCTATTTATTTAAAGCGGCTCTTTATACGTTACTCATTGCTGGGGTGTTAACAGGACTATTGTTAGCAGGTCCGGGCAATGGGCTATAGAGGGTTTATTCCCAGGAACCAACAATGAAATTGATGAAGGACTGCCAGTATTAACCAAATACCTCCATACAGTATTATTTACTGTATCTGGTACGAGTTGTTTAATTTCAAGTTGGGATCTAGTTTCTATGTTCTCATCAATTGAACTTCAGAGTTTTGCTGCGTATGTTTATAGTTCTGTAATTTCTAAATTCACAGTACTCTGCGAAGGCACTGAAGACGTACCTAGTGTAGCTCAATTTTCTAATCTCCATTTAACTGACCAGCTAGTATCTGCGTATCAACAATTAAAGGGCCTAGCTGGTATTTATTGTTTTAAAAAATTACTGGGGCTATGTACATCGCCCCCGGCGGGCCAGCCTAGCTGAGCTTTTTCAAAGCTCAGCTTGGTGAACACAGCAAAGCTGTGTTAGCCTAGCGCCTTCCGCCGGGGGAGGATCATCTATTAATTTAGCGGTTAGAATGAGAGATCCCATCACACATACGTGTGATTGCCATCTTAAAAACGCTTTCTTAAAATATGGTTTAGCCTCGCACCGGGGTGCGCAGCCACCTCGGTGCGAGGTAACTCTCCCCTCCCCGCAAGGTCTCGAGTGGCCTCTTTTCTTTTTATTATCATTGAATATGTAGCAAATTAATCCAGAGAGCTACCCTGGGGCAATTAGTGCTTTATTATTACTTCGTTTTTTTTTTGCAAGACGGCGCTAGGTTGTTTGTTTAAACAAACAAACAACCATGCGCCCGTGTCGCTGCGCCAGAGGCGTAGCGCCACAGCGCTAGTCGTGTGCCATGGCACACGACATGCGCCCTGCCTCCATCAGGGTATACCCATATTGCGCACAGCGCTAGTCGTGTGCCATAGCACACGACATGCGCCCGTGTCGCTGCGCCAGAGGCGCAGCGCCACAGCGCTAGTCCCAAGGGGGGGACTCACCCCCGACGGGACAAGCCCCTCGGGGGCTAGTCGCTTGCCGCAAAAAAAAAAATCCCGGGGCCAGCGACGAGCGCCGTGGCCCGGGGGAGTGAGCAAATTTATTTGAATTGGCTCTTTTCACTACCTGCTGCTCGGCCCCCGGGGGGACGGCGCTATACGCTTGCCCCCCCCCCCTACGGGGAGGGGGTAGATATAATTTTAATCAGGTTGCTAGCCTTCCGCCTTCTCGGCTTCCCCTGGGGGGGATGGGCCGCAGCCCCACTTGGGGGAGGGCAGCAGCCCTAGGAAATCTGCATTCCTTAGAAACCAAAGAAAAAATTAGTGTGTCTATGCAAGGAATTACGCGATCGGATGAGACTCGCGCCAAAAGAAGTATGGCAGTATTAGTCCACGATATTGATGGTGTGTTGGTGGGAGAATTCCCTTCTATGCGTGCTCAGCTTTAGTGCTTAAAATATCAGTATCCGGTATCTCTCGAGCTGTTAACCAAGGTGTAGGTACTTAAAGGTCTGTATCGTGTATCTCGTGCGTAGTGTGTATATAGTTTCTTCTTAATCATAAACCCTAATGACGGGTTACCCCCCCAAGCACCTTTGTGAATATACGGGAGATGGCTTAATAGGTAAAGCACTTGAATTGGGTACAAGATAATACCAGTTCGAATCTGGTTCCCCCGAAAAAGATTGGCTCTTAATTAGTGCTAGTTTGATGCCCCCTCCCCGTAGGGGGAGGGACTTAATAGTGTTAGTTCAAATCTAACTAACCCGAAACATTGCTAGTTCGACTCTAGCTAACCCGTAAATTAAATAAAAAAGGACAAATATAAGTTTGGGACTAAAACAGTGTTAGTTCAAATCTAACCAGCCCGAGAAGATTGTTCAACCAAGATGAATATCCAAGAAGGAATTAGCGATTATTTATTATCTGGAATATAGTAGAAATAAATATCGAGATTGTTTCGTTCACCTTGTATGTTCAATATCCTTTTCCTTAGTTGCTTATCCTAACCGGTATTTGATGGGATTTTGAAAGAAGGCAATTATAAAACCTTTCAACACAAGTCGATATAAAGTAAACAGTTAAATCCAACATATAGCGTGAGGAATCTTAGTAATGAAGCATTTAACGGCAGTGATGGAATTGGTAGACATGTAGTGCTTAGGACACTATGCGCGTCAGTGCATGCTGGTTCAAATCCAGCCCGCCGTAAATTAAAGATTCGTCAAGTTACAGTTTATCTTCAGAATTTAGAGTAAGTACCCTAGATATTCTGTTAAATAATATGTACATTGTGGTTTACCTTCTACAGCTAAAGCAAAACCAACAACATTTGGCAATAATACATAATTGCTCTTAGTGGCTGTCTCAATATCCAAACTACCAATTTAACCCTTAAAAGATCTCACCATATTAAGAGGTGTAAGACCAAAACGATTTGCAGGTTTTACATTATAAAGCCAAATCTCAAATCCAGTAAATTAATTTTAGTCAGATGCTCGACTATTCGAATTGATGATCCTTCCCCCGGCGGAAGGCGCCAGGCTGGCCCGCCGGGGGGGATGATCCCAATATTAAATGTAGTGCCCAAACAAAAAAAAAAAACAACTTATATACACTATATTCCTGTCCTTTGGGTAAGAAAATAGGCAAAATAAGGACATTATGGTCGCGGAGCTCCCCTATGCTCTATCTGGTTGTCCTAACTCCCGGGGGGCAAGCGTCTAGCCCCCGAGGGGCTTGTCCCGTCGGGGGTGAGTCGGCGAAAGCTTCGACTAAGTCGAAGCTTTCACCGCCCCCTTGGGACTAGCGTCTTGTATTTATACAAGATGCTGAACGCAATTATTGCTTAAGCAATAAAAGCGTCTAGCCCCGCAGAGCGGCGCTCGTCCCTGCGGGGTGAGCCGATTTATATATATTTATATATAAAATTCACAACTATATTATATTATAATATGGTAGTCGATGCTAGCCCCGCAGAGCGGCGCTCGTCCCTGAGACCCTACGGGGAGGGGTGAGTCGGCGAAAGCTTCGACTAAGTCGAAGCTTTCACCGCCCCACAGGGACTAGCGCCGTCCCTCTACCCCGTAGGGAGGGAGGCCGCTAAGGCTTATGGGTGGGCTTTGCCCGGGCAAGTATCGCCCAATGTGGGGCTCGATCTCCCTCTCCTGTAGGCTTCAAAGTGGGACTTTGATCCCTTCGGAGATGGTCGACCCGTTGGTACTGGTTAAATAAGGAGAAACGGAGAGTCCCGAGTAAACTCGGAACAAACTGTACGGTAAATTATATCATTGCTTTATTTGGGTCGCTCCGCTCCGTAGTCTTTAAATTTAATCTATTCTTAAAAAGGAGGAACTGGGTATATCCTAGTTCCGTCTCCAGGCCCAAGATTCCTTCGCTTTGCTCGGAACCCCGACTCGAGCGTGGGCCGTCCTACAGGGGTAGCGCCGGAGGCGCAATCCTTCGGACCCTTTGCCCTCGCGGCGCCAGCCACGGCGCTAGGAGCTGGCTTTTATTAAAGCCAGCTACATGCGACCGTGTCCGGGCTTTTGTTAAAGCCCGGCCACGGCGCTAGTCGCTGGCCACAGCGGCGAAGTAAAGAGGGAGAGCAATACTTAACGACCCCATTGTTGATCATTGTTTATACTAATTATTTAAACAATTAGGCCGAAATTAATTCACAATTCTTGCACAAATTGGAATCCGTTATAACTATCATCAAATTCTCGCATATAACTAAGGATAATACGCAGTTTACAAGAATTATTTAAATAATAGAGCTAGGCCCGGAGGGCCTCACCCTCCAGGGCCGAGACCGACCCTGTCGGGCTAGTTATATTATTAGTTTAAATATATAAGAACAGAGGTAAGGACTCCAAGGAGTTATATGGTATCTTTCGAGCTAGTTACGAATTCTCATATTTCGTATGCAAAATCTTGTATAAATCGGGGTAATGAAAATCTGTCTCTCCCGTTTTTCCCCCCTCCGCTCCTGGGTAAGCTTACCCAGGAGCCGATGGGGAGACAAACCACAGGGGCAGGGTGGGCCTTAATTCAGTTGATTTCAACGGTTCGGTATTGACATAATTGCTAATTGCAGAGGACCACCTGTGTACCCCATCGTTGACCATTGTGACAAAATAGAGCGGTAGATTGATCAAATGAGTTATTTACACCAAATTCCCGCATGGCAATAAACTCTGGAAGAGTTTGAATATAATAATAACCGAATTGAACTACTGCTTCGGTCTGAATATGTTTCGCCGTTAAATATGACGATACAATTCTTAAACCGTGGGATTAGACAATTTTCAATTCTATTTCTCCTTTGTAGTCGATTTTTTGCAAGACGGCGCTAGTCGCTTGCCTGGCGGAGCCAGGCATGCGACATGCGCCCGTGTCGCTGCGCCAGAGGCGCAGCGCCACAGCGCTAGTCCCAAGGGGGGGACTCACCCCCGACGGGACAAGCCCCTCGGGGGCT